GCTAAAGTGTCACCCCCTGCACCATGAACTTTTATTTTATGCAGTAACCTTTTATGTGGAACCTTATGCAATACCTTTTGGATATCCAAGTTCACCACACCTACAGGTTCTCTGAAGAATTTTGGCAGGTCACAGCCAATGATTCAACTTTCTTAACAGCCACATATTTTAAAACTCTGTGATGAAAACCAACAAGTCCAAAGCATTTAATAGCATTTAGTACAAACAGATTGCCCAGTACACTTTCCTTAATGATTCTGATTTTTTTTAAAAAGCGTCTTCTTCCCTTTTAACTCATGGTTTTCAAGTATTCTTGGTTGCAAATACTTCACCCTTCTTTTTGCACTGATGCTGGCTCCACCAGCTTTGAAGATAGGGATACTTATGGAGCCTTCTCCTCCTGTTGGTTGTTTAATTGCCCATGGACATTCACAGAGGAACCAGGACTTCAGAGCTTAGATGTGATCAGTTGGTTGGAGGATCACCAGCTCTGCTTATTGCATGCTGCTTCTGCTATTTAATTTGTGAGTGCTCCTGTGTGTTAATGTCTAGACAACCAGTTTTAGGTTTGTTAATATCTTCTGCCATACCCTACTGAGGTAACATACTGGAAACCAAGTCCCATTATTCTCAGAGTTATCAAAGTATAAAATTCCCAATTTATCGGTCTTGTAGACCAAAGTTAACAGAAAGGATAGATCAACTTTCTGCACTTATGAAGAATTAAATAGATTCTAGCTGCAGGTAAACAACTATGAACTGTCAACGTATAACTCTACTAGTTAATTCTCTAAACTCCTAATGAAGTTTTCCCTGCATGTACATGTAGTCAAAAAAACATTGTTGTTATGGTTGAAGGGGAAAAAACTGGGAAGGCAGTTCAACAGCCCTAGTCTACAATATTCACTGAAATGATTTTTCTGTTTGCAATGGCTTGGTGCTTTTTCAGGTGCAGCTGACACTGAGTAAACAAATGTTTCACAAATTATATAATCTATGACTCATTGGTTAAAAGCAACAACTTACAGTAACCGGTGAGAGAAAATGAACTGGCTTGCATCAGTTATCTTCTTCTACTTCCAGTCCAAAGGCTTCTGTCAATATCATTCACATGCACAGGCTATTCAGCTACCCAGGAGCTAATCATATGGTTGTTGGCGGTTAGATGGTCTTTGTTAGCCACAGCTGATCACAAGTCCACAAACCAATCAGTTACTTGATATTGGCCGAATCTCACGTGGTGCACATCCCTTCTATAACCAACCTCCCCCACTGACTGAACAAAGCAGCAGTCACCACTCACAATGAGTTTCAATAGATTGCTTTTAAAACCTGAACAAGTCAATAAAATTTCTACTCAAAGAAAAATACATGTGTCTTGGTTTCAATGTTACCAACCGGTTTGGAATATATTAACACTGTTGTAGCTTCACCATGCCGACATCTCATTTTTAGGTATTGATGCTAATCTTGGGATGCTCTCCTGCATTCCTTATTGAACTAGGGTTGATCTCCCAGCCTGGTGGCAATAATAGAGTCATAGGGTTAGATTGTGGTTGAATACAATTTTGCTGCTGCTGATGGTTTATGACACCTCATGGCCCTGTTTTAAGGCGCTTGATCTTTTGAAATCTATCCAATTCAGAATGGTGGCAATACCACACAACACAATGAAAGGTATACTCAATGTGATGATGAGGGCTTGTCTCCACAAGGTCTATAAAGTCATGACTCCCACTAATACTATAATGGATGGTTTCATCTCCGAAGGTGGACTGGTGAGGACAACTACAAGTAAGTTTTTCTACGTTGTTGTTTCTCTCACCCAAAGATCCACCATAGCAACTACATCTTACGTCCTAAATTGTAATCAACAGGAGGTTTCCTTCCTCATGTTTGACCTGATGTCATGTGACCTTGTAGGCTCCTTGTGAATGTTGAGAACTCCCAGGGCAACTTCCTCTCAACTATGTACTGGTGTGCTGCTATCGCTACTGGATTTTTCCTGCCAATGGAACAGTTGGTGATGATGACATATTGGACTTCGTAAGTGATGATTCTGTGAGTATGATCAGGCAGTAGCTTTATTTGTTTAGACTTTTGGTATGAGCCCCCAGATTTAGTAAGGAGAATTTTACAGAGTCGTATTTGCCATTGTTGTTTCTGTTTCCTAGGTTGACAACAGGGTGGTCTGTCCAATTTCATTTACTCTTCAGACTTTGTGTGGCTTGATAGAACTGGGTACTTGGCAGGTCACTTCAGAGGACATCTAAGAATTGCTTGGATTTGATGCCACATATAGGCCAGACCTGGAAAAGATGGCAGATTTTATTCCCTAAAGTACGTTAGTGAATCAAATAGATTTTTAATGAAAATCAATAATGGTTTCATGATCACTATTAGATCAGCATGCTCATTCTGGATTTACTAGCTGAATGCAAATTTCACCAGTAGCCATGGTTGGTTTTGAATTGAAATGCCCATGACATTAGCATGGGTCTTTGGATTACCAGTCCAGTGACATTACCACGACACTTCTTTCTTCCCAAGTGGACAATCGTAAAAGCTGAGGATCTTTCAATTTTACATCTCAATCTCTGTACATGCCTCACTAGTATTCACAGCATCCTGTTCCAGACCACAGACCAAATGTGAAGACTTAAACTGAATTAATCTGACTGCCTTCTGAAAAAAAGTATCCGTGTATCTTTTTCCTTCCTTGGTACATTGAAGTGTCTGAAGCTTGACCCCCCATTAACTTGAACCAGAATTAAAGCCACAGACACTTACTGTAGTCCTGGCTGCCATGGATTACACTGGAGTCCATCAACTCCCAAGCCACAGCTACATTAGATTCCCTGCCAAATGTATTATGTTAAACACCCTAATTTAGGCGAGAAAATGTTCACCAATAAGTTGTTTGTCATATCATTCTTTTATTTTCTTTAGAATGCTCTGAACCCACAGACACACACCCCAAACCACTACTACTTTTCATAATCTCACCATTGCCTCTGCGTTACCCTCTCCATTTCTAGAAAGCAAATGGTGTCTTCTGTAGTTATTGGGGAGTAAAAAATGTACAAGTTGCATGATTTCCCTCACCCCACTGCGTACATTGTCAGCAAACACTCGCTAACAAGTATGATTGTCCACCTAGGAAATTCCATGTCACTGGTCATGGGATCTCTGGGTCTTTTTGTGGCTGATGAGCCCGATCCTAAACTTGCATCTCTGACCACATGTTTGGTAGGTGTTTCGGGGGGCGGGGGGTGGAATTGATCCATGGCCGCAAGATCACTGACACTCCTTTTTCCGGTTCTTCTTCTGTAATCCCTCTTCCTGATGAATGTTCTCAAAGAATGGTGTCCCTTCACACAGGAGGTGCCTCCAAGTCAGCTTCTTCTGAACAAGAATCTCCTACATGTTAACATCTTTGAGGAAGGCCTTCAGGGAGTCTTTGAAATTATTCCTTTGTCCTCCTCTCATTCAACTGCCTTCCTTGAGCTGGGAGAAGATTTGCTTTGGTAGTTGGAACTTGGGCAAACTAAGAACGTGGCCAGCCCGGCTGATTTCGGATGATCATGGCCTCGATGCTAATGCTATTGGCTTTTTCAAGGACACTGATGTTAGTATGCCTATCCTCCCAGCTAATTTGGAAAATCCTCCTTAAGCAACATTACTTCTCAAGGGCCTTGAGGTCTTGTACATATGTAGTTCAAGTTTCAGAACTGTATAAAAGAGTCGGAAGGATGATTGCCTTATAAGCAAGGATCTTGGTATCAGCACTAATGTCATGGTCAAAGAATGTCATCCTAAGATGCCTGAAAGTGGCATTTGCAGATTGGTTGCAGTGTTGAGTCTTCATGCTAAATGAGAGGGAGCTTCCCAGGTTGGGAAAATGTTCCAGGTTTGGGAGGATTTCTCTAATGATCTTCATGGAGGGATGGACTTGGACTTGCCCTGGGACGAGTTGGCAAAGATCTTGAGTTTTTTTGAGGTTGAGACCGAGACCAATTCGCCAGTATGCTTTCATGAAGACATTTAGTGAGGCTTGAAGATTTTCTTCTGAGAGCGCAAGAACATTGTCATCCACATATTGAAGTTCCATGAGCAAGATCGCCATTGTCTTCTTGGATTTCAACTGGCTCAGTTTTCCGTCCATCCTCTAGAAAATGTCCACACCACTGGGAAGCTTGTTCTTGTCAAGGAGAATGGTGGGGATGTAGATGGATAAAAACGTGGGGGCAATAACACATCCCTGCTTGACCCCTGTTTTGACCTCAAAAGATTCTGTCATATTATCATAGATGAGGACCCTTGTCAACATCTTGTCATAGAGAGGAAAGGAAATGTTGATGAATTTCTCTGGATAGCCGTCCTTTAACAGTGTCTCCCATAGTGTTTCTTGACTGAATGACTCAAAAACCTTGGTCAGATAATGAAGGCTACGTAGAGCAGTTGGTGTTATTCCTGGCATTTCTTGGAGTTGCTGAGCAGTGAAAAATACTATTCACAGTTCCTCAGTTTGGTCGTAAGCCACAATGGATTTTAGAAAGGATTTCCTCAGATAGTGCATTTATTTCTATGTGAGCAAAGTTTTTAACAGCAAATTCAATCTACATACATCTCAGTTCATGTATAGTCTCGTTCCCTTATTTCATTTACATATTAATAAATGGTGGATGAAGAAAATCAGGAAAATATGGAATTGACAATTTTACCTCTCTTGGGAACATCATCAGGGCAAAGTAGCCAAGATTTTATATATCCAAGGCCATGCACTAATTTTTTTTTTAAATCCAGAAATAGCACTGTAATGCAGTGATATGTGTTCATCTGCAGATCCCCAACTAGTTTGGTGATTCTGGGCTTCTCCTACTCTGTCATAGTAGCTTTGCCAGAAACTTTAATGTTCCTGAGGCAGAGATAGTAATGGAGTAGAAGAATAACTAAATAAGAACTGGGTGAATGAGTACAGGAACGTAATCTCTCCTTACCATGCAAGGGGAAATTGAGCCCAAATGAAGGATCAAGTTACTTGACTGTTCTCCAGGCAGACAATGGTAGGGACCTAAGAAAACAGAAACACAAATGAAGAAAGCAGGCAGAATTTCTAAGTGTGAAGTGTTTAGAACTGGGATAAATTCATTTAATCAAGAATATGCCAATTCAGGTAAACATCCATTTCCCTGACAGCCACCTGGCTGGTAGGTGGAGAAGATAAAATGGCTGACTATCAATGTCTATGAAATTCTCTCCCTCATTTAACAACTTCAAATACATTAAAATCATCTGCCTACAACCGCTATTAATGCCTATTGACATTAAAAATCAAGCAGAATAAATGAAGGATCCTGCGGCAGTCCGTGTTTTCTGATAAGCTAAAACAGCCTACGAAGTTCCAATTATTTTGGCTACATATTATGGTTTCATCATACTTCTTTTGTTGTCACATGGGATGTGAATATCGCGAGAAAGAAGAATATTTGTTGGCCATTCATCACTGCTCTTGAACTGAGTGGTCTGTTCGGCCATTCAGAGAGTAGTTAAGGATCAATCACATTGCTATAGGGCTGAAGTCACATAGCTATAGGGCTGAAGTCACATACAGGCTTGGCTGGATAAGGACGGAAGATTACATTCCCTAAAGGAAATCAGTGAACCAAATGAATTTTCGATACAATTTTGATAGTTTCCAGTACATTAGTCTGAACCTCTTGATTACTAGTCTAGTGATATTACCACTACACCAGTCTCTTCGTAATGATGTTGTGCCAAGCTGCACATCTCAACTTAGTCGTCTGAAGCACTCCCAATGTTCTTTATTGCAGATGCTGAGGTTTCTCGCGCACACACAAGCCTCTCTCTGAGACTGATGTGACTCGAAATTATACTCAATGGTGGACGAAATTATACTCAATAGCAGACTAAACTGAAAGTGCAGAAATGGCGACGCTTCTCTTGTTTCCCTATTTTTAAATCTTGCTGTGCGTCACCGATGTGCCTGTATGTTTAGACCTTAAACTTGCCAGCCATACACAACACAGGCACACCACCATATCTGCGCCATGACCCCACAGCCCAGGATCTATTCGCATAGAAACATTCATATAGCGGTATGTGGGGGCCATAATAGCTTTCCTAGACCGCTCTTTTACCTGAAAACGACTTTGCATCGTTATCCGCTCGCGCTTCCCAACCGCGTAGTCGCATCCGCTTGGCCGCGTGCCCTTGCTCCGGCCGCGCAAACTCATTCTTTTGGCCGCGTGTCCCTGTTGCTGCCGTTATTGCCAGGTCATCTCCGCTAGCTGCATGAAGAGCCCGGCGCCATCTTGTGAGGAGTAAGAGGTGTCGTGATGGTAAATAAAGAAATAAAATGAATTGCAGGCAAGGATGGAACTAAAGACGAAGGTAAGAGTGGAGTCTGGGGAAACGATGTTTGATGAGGCAAGCCAGGTATAACTGATGGTTACTGGTAAAGAATGATGGATAAGGGCCAGAGAAAAAAAGCCAACTCTATATTTCAATTGTTTGAAAATGTACTGAATCACGATAAAGTTGGTTAGTGTTTCCAATTCAGCTTGTTATTTGAAAATGATATGGTGTAAATAATGAATTTTGCGACTTCAAATGAAAAGCTGATGATTTAACCACCGTCTTCCATATATTAATTTCTTATATGAGAAAATGTTAACCAATTCTCTTTCATAATTCTGAAGTATAATTTTCGTAATGGATATATAGAGGACAAAGATAATCATGTATTTAGATAAACACTTGAAAAGCCTTTGCATATGAGCTCGTAGACCAAGTTACAGAAAATAGAATGACAGTAGATAGTTGATGACTGGAATGGACACAGTAGTCCAAGGAGGCCCTAAATGTGCTTGAATCTCTGTGACTGTTTGTGACAGGGAGAATCTGACTTTCTCATTTTGCTTAGATGGTCCATTGGCCCCAAGAAATATAGACCAAAGTGCCCACTTGTGCTTTTGAGTTTTTGGTTTGTTAGAAAGAATCTTACAGTGCAGAGGGTTGTCATTTGGTCTGTGCCACTTCTTAAAAGAGCCATCCAATTTCAGACCAATCCCAGCTTCCTCCTTGTAAGTCTATGAATTAAAAAAAATTGTTCATGGATTGTGGACATCAATGGCTGGACAAGCTATTGCCCATCATAGTTGATCTTGGGAAGGTGGTGTGAACTGCATTCTTGGACTGCTGAAGTCCATTTGCTGTAGGTATACAAGCAATTCCATCCGGGAGGTAATTCCAGAATTTGGACTCAGCAACATTAAAGGAACAGCAATGTATTTCTGAGTCAGGATGGTGAGTAGCTTGGAGGGGAACTTGCAGATGGTGCAATTTCCATGTATCTGCATCCCTGATCCTGCTGTCTAAGGAACGTTCGTGAACATCTTTGGTGCATCTTAAAGTCATAGAGTATGCCAGTACAGAACAAGCCTTTTGGCCCATCACATACATGCCAGTCAAAAACAATTACCTAGCTATTTCCAAAAATCATTGGATTCTGGAGAAGTGCCAGAGGATTTGAAAATTGCTAATGTGACACCTTATTCAAATAGGGAGAGAGGCAAGAAGTGGGTAACTTTAGGCTGATTAGCCTAACTATTTTTGAAAAGGCATTGGAAACAATTATTAAAGAAATAAAAGCAGAACATCTGGAAAATCATTATCTAAAAAAGCAGAGTTAACATGGCTTTGTGGAGGGGAAATCATGTCTGACTAATTTATTAGACTTTTTCGAAGAAGTGTCAACCAGCGTGGATAGAAGGGAACCATAGACGTGTTGTATTTGGACCTCCAGGAGGTATTTGACAAGGTACCTCACAAAAGATTAAGTCATAAGACAAGAGCCCACGATATTAGAGGTAGTATATTGGCACGGATAGAGAATTGGCTCATGGGCAGGAAACAGCGAGTGGTGATAAGGAGTTCTTTTCAGGGTGGTGATTCTTGACCAGTAGGGTTCCACAAGGGACTGTGACTGTTTACAATATATAGAGTAATTAAGTCAAACAGCACAGAAACAGACCCTTCAGTCCAACTCATCTGCACCGTCCAGACATGCCAAACTGACTCAGTCCCATTTTCCAGCATTTGGCCTGTATTCCTCTGAACGCTTCCTATTCATAAACCCATCCAGATGCCTTTCAAATATTGTAATTCTACCCGCCTCCACCTGCCAGCTTGTTCCATACACACACCACATCTGAGTGAAATAGTTACCCCTCAGGTCCTTTTCAAATCTTTCCCCTCTCATCTTAAACCTTTTCCCTTTAGGTTTGGACTCTCTCACCTTAAGAAAAAGACCTTTGCATTCACCCCATCCATGCCCCTCATGGTTTTATAAATCTTGATAAGGTCACCCCAGCCTATTCAGCCTCTGCCTATAACTCAAACCTTTCAACCTATAAATCTTTCCTGTACCCTGTCAAGTTTAACAACATCCTATTCATGACTTGGAGGAGGGAGTTGAATAAACTGTAGCTACAGTTGCAGATGGCACAAAAATAGTTGAAAGGGCAGGTTGTGAGAGGGATACAAACAGTTTACAGAGAGATGTAAGTAAGTGGGCAAAATTTGGCAAATGGGGTGTAATGTGGGAAAACGTGAAGTTGTTCACTTTGGAAGGGAGAGCAAGAGAACAGAATATTATTTAAATGGAGAGAAACTCCAGAATGTTGCAACACAAAGGGACTTCGGGATACTTGTGCATGAAACATAGAAAGCTAGCACGCAGGTGCAGCAGGTAATCAGGAAAGGCTAATGGAAATGCTGGTCCTTATTTCAAGACGGTTGAAGTATAAGTGTAGGAAAGTCGTACTCTAATTGTATAACGTGCTGGTGAGACCACATCTTGGAGTACAGTGAGCAGTCTTGGACCCTTTAATGAAGGAAAACTATCATTTCATTGGAGGCAGGCCGAAGAAGGTTCAGTAGGATGATCCTTGCTGCGGAGAGACTGTCTTATGAGCAAAGATTAAACAGGCTGGGATTTTGCTCACTGGAGTTTAGAAGATTGAGAAATGATCTCATTGAAATGTATAGGATTCTTTAAAGGCTTGACAGGGTAAATGCTGAGAAGATGTTTCCCTTCATGGGACAGCCTACGTCCAGAGGGCATGGTCTCAGAATGGTGGGATGGCAATTTAAAACTGAGATGAGTAGTAATTTCTTCTCTGAGAGTTGTGAGTCTTTGGAACTCCTTGCCACAGAGAGCTGTGGGGACAAAGTCTTTGTGTATATTTAAGACTGAGATAGATTCTTGATCAGTAGGGAAATCGTGGGTTATGTGTGGAAAGGGCTGGAAAGTCGACATGAGAAATGTTGGATCAGCTAGAATCATAGAACCGTAGAACCCCTACAGTGTGGAAACAGGCCCTTTGGCCCAACAAGTCCACACTAACCCACAGATGGCAGAGTAGGCTCAATAGGCTGAATATCTGCTGCTGTTCCTATTTTTTTATGGTCTTATGGCCTGATCCCATTTTCAGCACTTGGCCCATAGCCTTGTATGCTTTGGCAAGTGCACTTCTAAATACTTCTTCAATGTTATGAGAGTTTCTGCTTCTACCACTCTTAAAAGCAGTGAGTACCAGATTTCCACTAGCCACGAGGCGAAAAAGCTTTCCTCACATTTCCTCTAAACCGACTTCTCCTTATCTGAAATGTATGCTTCCTAGTTGTTGATCCGTCCATCAAAGAGAAAGGTTTGTAGATGGTAGGCCCTGCTGCTGTTGTACATTGGTGCTGGTGGTGAATATCCATGAATGTGGTTCCAGTCAAGTGAACAGCTTTGTCCTGGATGATGTCAAGCTTCTTGAGTGCTGTTGGATCTGCACTCATCCAGCAATTGGAGAGTATTCTATCATATCCCTGAATTCGAATTCTGCCATGGCAAATGGTATAATGTGAATTCAATTTTAAAAATCTGGAAGTAAGAGTCTGGTGATGATCACAAAACCACTATCGATGTTGGAAAAATCCTTCTTGTTCACAAATATCTTTCTGGGAAGGAAACAACTGTCCTTGCCTGGTCTGGCCTACATGTGACTCCAGACCCACACCATGTGATTGACTTTTAACTGCCATCATTGCATTTAGGGACGGGCAATAAATCTGGCCTAGCCAGCAACCCTCACATTCCATGAATGAATTTAAAGAAATTATTTTCTTAGCTTCTGACCTGTATTTACATGCTAGTCTAGTTCACTTTCTGGTCATTGGTAAACCTCACGTTATTGATAGTGGGGGATAAGTAATTGTAATGCCATCGAATGTCAAAAGGTGATGGTTAAATTCTCTCTTGTTATTCATTTTCAGGCAATTGTGTGGCATGAATGTTAATTGCCAGTTTTATTGCATGCACTTTCAAATTGCTGCAGGCCATTTGTAGTAGGTAGACCTAAAATGCTACTAGGGAGGAAGTTCCAGCATTTTGACCCAGTGACACTGGAGGAATGGTAATATAATTTCCAATCTGGATGGAGAGTAGCTTGGAGGGGAACTCGCAGGTGGTTCTGTTCCAATGTATCTGCTGGCCTTATCTTGCTTGAGGGTAGTGGTCAAGGGTTTGGAACCCGCAGGAGCTTTGGTGAATTTTTGCAGTGCACCTGAGACACTTTGTCCAAGATGGTGGTGGAGTAGGGGAGTTGAGCCTGGGCTCATCTGCTCCTCTTGGCTGAATTTTTCTTTTTTTCCTTCTTTTTTGTTTTCTTTAAAGCCTGGAAAGTTGCAGGAGAAGGTGGAGGCTTCTGGCGGCAGTGGCTCCACCCCAGCCCAGGGTCTTCCATCAAGCAGGTCCTGAGCTGACTCCAACAGCCCGGACTTGGAGGCTGGGCCGAGGCTCCAGGTCCTCAGCTGCGCCTGAGTGCCTGAAGGAGTGGAAGGATTGGTGAAAGGGACGGATGGCAGATTGGCAGCAGCGTCTCAAGTAGCATCGAATGGGGAACAGGAGGCTACTCCCAGCCCAGTGATGAGGTGGCTTTCAGCACCCGCGTGTAGTGGTCTCTGCCTGGCAATTGAAGACAAGTGGAAAATTACTGGTTTAGTGCAAAATAGTTGTTTCGGCTGTCGAGGAACCACGTGACACTGCCACCTGGAGGGCCGTTTTCTGCGCAGTGGAATGTCTGGGAAAGTACTGAAAGCATCCAGAATAATATTAATATAAGGGACTCTGCAGCACCCATTGGACTTCATCTCGGTCTGAGATTGTGACTGGTGCTAGGCAATGCGAGTTCTCCACACCACT